TCCTGTTTTATAAAATTGTTCAAATTTTTCTTCTTTTTTCTTTTTATAACTTTCTCTATCTCTTTTTCTTTTTTCTTCTTTTTTAGCTTCATCCATAGAAGCTCTATGTTCTTGTTGTCTATTTTTTTGACCTTCTTTTGTTTTTGCTCTTGTGTCTGATGATGCTTCAGAAGCTTTAAAAGTTTTTGATCTTGTTCTTGTTGAAGGTCTTGCGACATTTTGTTTTTTTTGATAATGTCTATATTTAGCTTGTCTTTTTCTTTTTAATCTATTTTCTCTTACATTATCAGGTTCTTCCTCAGGTTTTTTAGATACTGGATATTTTATTAAAATATATTCTAGAGTAGGTCTTTTTTCTTTTTCATTTTTCTTGTCTTTCTTTTTTTTTGGCATTTTTTATCTTAATAAAAAAAAAAATATAATAAAATTATTAATTATTTGTATAATTTATAAATAAAACAAAACATTTACATGGGCTAATTTTAAACTCTTTCTAATGATCATTTGTACCAAAAATCCAAACACATTTTTTGTAAAAAACACAATAGCACTTAGTAAAAAACAGAGGCACACTACTAGCTATAAGTCGGTAGTTGTTATTTAGAGATAGTTTTCATATGCTACCTGCTAACTTCTTCAGAGTTTATCACTCACTGCTTGCACAGCACTTGTCGTTTAGAAGTAGTTCTTATACGCTACTTGCTGACAAGCCCAGAGTTTATCACTTACTGAAAGAAAGTCTTTAGTTCATAACTCTTCGAATTATATTATTCGTATTAATTATTTATTCAGCTTGTGTTGAATATAAACTTTAAAAAACATAAATATAGCTTTCAAGTATAATAAATAAGGATGAAAAAATCAAGAGTTGATATGATACAAAATTTTAAATAATTCAATTATGATTAATAAATATAACATGAACCTGGATGATGCTAAATTAACAATCAGAAGCGGAAGTCTAGTTTTAGACTATTCTCAAGCATCTGAATTAATTGATTAAAAAATGATCGTGATGATGCTCAAGCATCACAATCAATGGCGATATTTATAGAATTAAATACTTGAGCATACTCTTTCTATTTTTTATAATCTTTGGTATACTGTTTAAAATATCTAAAAATCTAATAAAAAAAATTTCGTTCAAATGACTGCCAAAGCTTCAGCTTCAGTTATATCAGCTTCTCTCTTCAATGATTTTACTAATATTAATCTTTTGTTGCAAGACAACAACTTATAGAATCATTAGCGAAAGTTGCTTTGTAGCAACAAGAAAAAAAAATTTATTTATATTTTTTTTTGAATGTTAATAATAATATTAAATATATGTACTGTATTATCGCTGTTTTTGAATGGTTGAGAATAGCAATATTTTCAAAAAAAATTTTTTTCTTGCGAATATCTAAACATTTGAATACCCGATTAGTTTAAAACATTGATTACATTAATCAATAATCGATTTCAGCTATCTTTATTTAATAATAAATTAAGCAAGTAATTGTAATTACTATTTCGTAGTTGAAAATCGATCAATGTGATCAATGTTTTAAACTAATCGGGAATTCAAAAATTTTTTTTTGAAAATATTGCTATTCTTAACTATTTCGAAAACAAAGATAATATATCTTAAGTTTATATAAGCGAAAAACAAAATAGCAATATTCATTACTGTTTGGTTAAATGTTATGGATATTTTTTTAGACTAGTTAGAAATTTGTTGTAATATGTTAAAATGTAAAGTAATGCATGAGCGAGCTTTATCGATCTATTGAGTGATATACTTGAGAACAGCCTTAATCGAATTATTGTCTTAGAGTCAATAGTTTTTAAAATGTTTTAAAACCTCTAAAAAGCTGTTTAACTTATTTTTTTACATTCCTATTATAATATAGTAATGGGTAATTGGGTATATGTTTTATTGTTCATAGTGCAGTACTATGGATCAATCATGCGAAACTATTAAAAAGCCAAATGAATTTGATTGGTTTGAATCACGTGAATGCATTTATGGAGGGAGTTTATTATAAACAGGCCAAAAAATAGCATGCATTTACAGAATAAAGAACATGCATTTATCTATAGGTCCCATTATGGGCTGGATTTATATCATGCATTTAGAGGGGTGCTGCATTTAGAAAGGGTGTATTTAGGGAGGTCTGACTGTATTATCTAGCCTAAAATTTTTTAAAAATTTTTAAAAATTTAGAATTATATATAATTTGTTTTGCTGAACAAATTTTACATAAAAATAAAAAAATTTAATTTACTTAATAAAAAATTAAGTTTTACTATATAGCAATTATAATAACTAATTTTTAAAAATTACTATTT